CTCTCTCTCTCTCTCTCTCTCTCTCTCTCTCTTAAATCAAGACTGGAGTGATAGCTTAGCAGTTATGAGCATTTATTGCTCTTTCAGGGGACCTGAGTTGGGTTCCCAGCATCCACATGATGGCTCCATATCCCAGTCCCAGGAGACCTAACACTTTCTTCTGACTTCTTCATGTACATGCTTAGGGCACACACAAATGTGCAGGCAAAGTACTCATATACATAAAGCAAAGTTTTAAAAATGTTTTAATAATCAAAAAGCCACATAGACAACAAAGACAGAAGCACAGTCCTAAGAAAACCTTTAAGTTCACCCCTGGCCTCCACACTTCATTCAAGTGTATGTCCCTGCACACATGAACGCACAACACAAACACTGAGTTTTGACATGGGCATTCTCCAGTTAGTAACAGACAACACAAACACTGAGTTTTGACATGGGCATTCTCCAGTTAGTAAAAATAGGCCAAGCCAGCTGGGCATGATGACCTGTACCTAGAATCTCACAGGAGGATCCATTCAAGGTCTCACAGTGAGTGAGGGGCCAGCCAAACTACTTAAGACTCTCCCTCAAAAAATATCAGTAACATAGGTGGTGGTGGTACACATCTCTAATCCTAGCACTGGAAAAACAGAGGCAGTTGGATCTCTGTGAGTTCCAGGACAACCAGGGATACACAAAGAAACCCTGTCTCAAAAAACATAAAAAGAAAACAAAAATTAGTAACACTTGGGAGACAGAGGCAGTTGAATGTCTGTGAGTTCCAGGTTGAGAAAAGCACTTATAATGACTCTGTCTCCAAAAAAAAAAAAAAAAAAAAAAGTGAATATAAAGTACAAGTCTTTTTAATTCTAATTCTCTTTAATTCCTTTTGGTGGTGGTGGTGGTTTTTCGAGACAGGGTTTCTCTGTGTACCCCTGGCTGTCCTGGAACTCACTCTGTAGACCATGCTGGCCTTGAACTCAGAAATCTGCCTGCCTCTGCCTCCCAAGTGCTGGAATTAAAGGCCTGTGCCACCACTGCCTGGCTTCTATTCAAATTAAAAAAAAAAAAAAAAAAAAAAAAATTTTTTTTTTTTTTACTTGTTTGGAGTTTCTGGTTTTTGTTTTGTTCTGTTTTCTTTACATGTATGTTTATGACTCTCTCTCTCTCTCTCTGTGTGTGTGTGTGTGTGTGTGTATACACATGCATGCGCGTGTACCATATTAGTTCAGTAGATAATAGAAGCTGGAAGCAGAAGTCTATGTCAGGCCCCCCCAGATCTGGAGTTCTAAGTGACTGACATGGTGCTTGGAGCCAGCTTGGGTTCTCTGAAAGAGCAGAAGTGTTGAGCCATTTCTCTAGCCCTCTTCTTTACTTTTTTGGTTTTTGTTTTTGGAAGCTGTATCGCCAGAGTGATCACATACTCTCAGAACCCTGCCTCAGCCTCTAGAAATGCTGGCATTATAGAGTGTCCCACTTTGCCTAACAACTTGTTTAATATATATTATTTAACCTTTTAGAAAAAAATATTTACTTTATTTGAATGGGTATTTTGTCTGCAGGCATGTATGTATCCCTGGTATCTGCAAAGGTCAGAAGAGGTAGTCAGACCTCATGAAACTAGAGTCATGGATGGTTGTGAGCCATGTGGGTACTAGGAACCAAACCTGGGTCCTCTGCAAGAGCAACAAGTGCTGTAAACTACTGAACTAAATTTTTTTCAAGTTAACCAGTGGTCTTTCTCTCAGAGCTAGGAATGCTGGTGCACCTGTAGTTCTAGCACTCGTGGGACAGAGGACAGAGAAGTCCTAAGGTTTGAGGTCAGTCTGGTCTACGTAGTGATTCAAATCCAAACCCTGACTGTGCTACAGAATAAGACCATGTCTAAAAAATGTCCAGAGCTCTGTGCTTCTCCATGGAGCTCTAGAGATGTTTCCTTCTGCTAGAATTAAGAAAAATTCTGAGGCTGCTGGAGAGATGGCTCAGCGGTTAAGAGCACTGACTGCTCTTCCAGAGGTCCTGAGTTCAATTCCCAGCAACCACATAGTGGCACACAACCATCTGTAATAGGACCTGATGCTCTCTTCTGGTGTGTCTGAAGAGAGCAATGGTGGTGTACTCAAACTAAATAAATAAATCTTTTAAAAAAAAAAAAAAAGAAAAAAAAAAAGAAAAATTCTGAGCTCAGTTGCCTCCCTACAAAAGTCTGTTGACTTTTTCTTCATCCAAATTACTTTAAGAGATTGGTGTGTTTTCTTATATTTTATGTGCCTTGGAGTCATAGTTAAACTGATGCTGACTGAACTTGCAGCAACCTAATCCTGTAACCTTAGCATCCATGGTCCTGGCCATGCAGGGGAGAGCAGCCTCCTGCTCTGCTTACACATGAATACAGCCGGCAAGTGCCTGGGCATAGGGGCCAGGAGTCAGTCAAGTGGACAGGCCAGCCAGAGACTCCTTAGCTCGACTGACATGGTCTCATTTCATACAGCCTTCAAGGAGAGAAGTCTGCTCCGGGGTGGTTACACAGCTGGGGCTCTGAAAAGTCATCCTTGGTGGAGGATAGGTGTGTTACATGCTAGGGATGAAGGACCAGGTTGATATAGCCATTGGCTTGTGAGGTCCCATCAGTCTTTTTACCTTTGGTTAGGAGAGGGGCACATGCATGCCATAGCCAGTGTGTGGCAGTCAGAAGACAACTTGCAGGAATTGGTTCTCCTTTTCCACTGTGTGGATTCCAGTCAGGTTATCAAGCTGCATAGCAGGTGCCCTTACACACTGACCTGCCTGCCCACCCTACCCACACCAGATACACACCAGATCACAGCCCCATTCAGTCCTTTCCTTCTCCCTGTCCTGGTATATCAAGAAAACAACCAAGTTTATTTACATGCCGTCCTTCTCTTTTCTGCAGGAAAACCAGAGCCCCTGGTGTTCCACATTCCTCAGTCCTTTTTTGATGCCTTGCAACAGAGAATATCCATAGGAAGTGCAAAAAAGCGGCTCCCCAACTCCACCACAGGTGCGGGCTCTCCCTGGGAAAGAGTAGTAGCAATTGTGACCTAGGGAACTATGTGTGGAAAAACTCTGTGTGAGACTTTCAGGGTTAGCATGTCTGGGCAAGTTATGGGGACATGACACTTATGGCTACTGGCTCTTAGAACAGTGACTCTCCCTCCAGAGACAGGTACTTCTTCCAGTCAGAGTGAGTGGAAGCGTTCAGGATGTGTAGACCTGGGAATGGTGAGCAAGCACCGGTTGATACTTCTAGATGTGTACACTCTCCACAAAAGCATCTGAAGCTCCAGCAGCTAAAACCTAAAGGGGCATCAAGAGCTGCGCCGTCCACCAGCGTGCAGATGGAGCTGGGCCGCACTCTCTCGGCAGAGCCCTAACGACGCTCCAGACATGATTGTTCACTAGCATCTTCGAAGGCATTTGTGTCAAACCGACAGAATTCCAAAGGGGAGCTTTCCAGAAACTTTGGTCTAGAGGACCAAAGTTTAATTCCAGTAGTACATTAAGAATATAATTCCCGCCGGGCGGTGGTGGCTCACGCCTTTAATCCCAGCACTTGGGAGGCAGAGGCAGGCAGATTTCTGAGTTCAAGAGTTCGAGGCTAGCCTGGTCTACAGATTGAGTTCCAGGACAGCCAGGGCTACACAGAGAAACCCTGTCTCGAAAATGCCAAAAAAAAAAAAAAAAAAAAAAAAATATAATTCCAGCTGGGCAGTGGTAGTGCATGACTGTAGTCCTAGCACTTGGGAGGCAGAGACAGGTGGATCTCTGTGAGTTAGAGGAGAGCCTGATCTGTAGAGGGAATTTCCAGGGCTACATAGAGAAATTCTGTCTCAAAAAAAAAACAAACAAGAACAACAAAATATAGTTCCAACCTAGCATGGTGGTACACACCTTTCATCACAGCAGACAGGAGGCAGAAGCAGGTGGATCTTTTAGTTTGAAACCAGCCTACCATACAGAGCAAGTTCCAAGGCCACCAGGGGTACACAGAAGAAACTTTTTTTAAAAAAAAAAAAAAAAAAAAAACTTTTTAAATTAAAAATACACACACACTATAGTGTGTGTGT